CTTGATGAGGACAATCTTACACACCACAAAAAGGGCTGGAAATGGGAGGCAGTGGGCAAAGAGAGCAGAACACCCACATATTCCTAAGGAAAACAGGTAAATTCTCTAGAATAGCTCCAGGCCTAGGAGTTCCCACAGAGAAAAGGGAGGGCTTGAGATGAAAGCAAGGAAACTGACTGGGTTTAGCAAACAGCTAGCAAGATCTGTGGCTTTCTTCTCCCCTGCTCACCAGAACCCAGACACCTATATCTGTGATGCACAAGAGACTGGGCTTCTAAGGGCAGAATAAGAAGTCACAAACGGGAGAGACGGATCCAAGTAAGGCTGGTGGCCTTTTAGGAAGAAACCACTGCGTCCCACTGTGCCTCTGAGAAAGGCCGGTGAGTACACACAGCTGGGAAGGACACACCTGCAGACAGGGAGTGGCCCTTCAGAACCCTGATCTCAGGCTCCCAGCGTCCTGCACGCTAGGCCACCTAGTCTAGGTGAGGAAGCCATTCTGTCCAGCATCTGGCACAAAAGAAACAGAAATGAAGTTTAGTCTGAAGAAGCAGAGTGCTTAATCCAGAAAAAACCAGAACAGATAAAACATGAGCTGGGTGAGTAAGCCCTGCGCATTTGTGCTCAGGGGCTTTCGATGAATCTTGGTAACTTTCTCTAAATTGAAAGAACTGCTAAAAATAAGACAGACTTGAGGGCAGCCTCCAAATAAATGAGACCAAAACAAACAGGAAAAAAAGATTAGTACAACCAAAGCAAGGCAGGAAACAGAACATTTCAAAGAAACTATAATTAGCTTCCTTGAAGAAATAACAGAGATGCTAAGCCTGGTTTTAAAGAAAGGTATTACAATATAGGAAGAAAAACACAAGACTTACACTCTTCTTTTTCTTTAAAGCTGAAATTGTAAAGCCCAGTGAGAGAGCTGGCACACCCCGAAACAGAGCGGACAACTGCGGAGAGATCAGCTTCTCTACACAGCAGCACCAGAGGACAACAGGGCTCATCTGCAGACTTTCCAGGGCAGGCGGCCTGAGAAAATCCTCAACAGATAAACAGTCCAGTGTGGGGGGAAATCAAACCCAAAAAAAACTACAGTTTCTACATATTCCTCACAGTACTGCTAGTAGAAAAAATGAGACTATGAGAGTAACCTATGAGACTATGAGAGGAAAAGGAACACAACAGCAAGGAAAGAACCTGGGGCGTCGGCAGTGAGCTCATGCGCAGGCCTTTAAGAGGAAGCCACAGGACGAAATCAGGAAGAAGGGACAGAAGGGATTGGCGTTTACATGGAAAATTATATGAAGAAGTGTGTTAGAGAAGAAGCCGCTGGAGGGTACAGGAAGACTCCACTAGAAGACGGAGGTGGAGGTGGAGGGGGGGTACAATAGGTCACCCCAAACACAACCTTAGTGGACTATCACCTCTCAGAAGAGTGGGACTGGGAAGGTGGCTCAGTGGGCAGGCAGTGAGTGTGACTGTTACCCCAGCCCTGGGGGACAGGCGGGGACTCACAGAGCACTCTGGCCCGTCAGCTTAGCCACAGACAAGCTTTGTGGTTCGGTGAGAGATGCTATCTCAAGGCAGTGAGGTAGAGAGCAACAGAAAACACCCGAACCCCTCGTTTGGCCTCTGTATGAGCATGCAGCATGCATAAAACCCAGGCTGCACATACACCCAGCGACAGACACAGACAGAAAACACCCCATCGCTGGAGCGTGTGAAAGTGCATAGTACCCTCAGTACACCATCGTTACGGCACACCGTTTTTACTTTTTTTTTTTTTTAAAAGGACAGGTAGCCCAGGCTAGTCTAAGACCACAAACCTCTGGCTCCCTCTCAAATGCTCGGATTAAAGGCATGCACCATCATGCCTATTTCTATACTTTTCAATTCAAATGTCACTTGGTGTTAAAGAAAAATTTAGTAGTTCATGTGGTTATTTTGTAATTTTAAAAATTCAGTCCAATATGGAGCAGTGGTGGCACACACCTTTAATCCAGCACTCGGGAGTCAGAGGCGGGTGGATCTCAGGAGAAAGAGGACAGCTGTTCTAAAGCCTGCCTGAACTGCACAACACTATGTAAGCCCTGAAGCCTGTGCACAGCTACAGCCCATCAGACCCTTGGAGACGACAGGCTCTGTGCGCAAGGCGCCTACATTAGAGCCCTCCTGGCTTGAGAGGCGGGTTAGGACTGACCCACCTTTAATCTACTGTAGGGTTAGGAAAATTAATAGCCATGCTTCAGACTCAGCAACTATTAAATGTTGTCTCGGATTGTTTCAAATACACATTTATTTTATCTGCATGCTTCTGTTAGGTAAATGAAGCTAAGATCTAGCCGGGTGTGATGGCCCAGACACAAGATGTAGTGGCTCACACCCGAATCCCAGCATTAACTGGGCTGAAGCCAGCCTGTTTGTTCTACATGGTAGTTGGCCAGCCAGAGCTACAAACAACACAACAAACAAAAACAAAGAAACAACAAAGAAATAGTTCTAAAGATGTTTAAAACCCATATGTAAACACAGCAGTGAGGGTTAATACAGGTGCAGAACTGAGATCTAGTTTTTTCTTTCTCTTTTTGTTTTGTTTTTGGCTTTGGTTTTTTTGAGACAGGGTTTCTCTGTGTAGCCCTGACGGTCCTGGAACCTCAAATTCAGAGATCTGCCTGAGTCTTCCACACCCACCCCCTCCCAGTGCTGGGATTAAGGTCATGTGCCATCACTGCTGGGTAAGATCTATTTTTCTCAAATGTCTTTATACCTAATTTCTGGTTCTTAGTCTGTTAAGTCAATGTGTTGTATGTAAACAAGGGGTTTCTGAACTAGTACCGCCATTTAAAGAGTATATCTGTCAAACAACAATCACTTATTCATTCACTAAGATTTGTATGAAACTCAGGGAAAAACAAACACTGCCTATACTTGCAACAATCTATGAAACAAATACATCTAAAATCTTGTTACTTTGTTATCACTTTTTTTAAAAGCAGAACCTAGATGTAGTCAAATTCAAACTCTAGAGTGCACCAAAATATTGAAAAGCTACCTTTTGCTTTGATTTTAATTTTTCCCCCCAAAAATGCTGCTTCTAGCCAAAAAATATAATAAATTATTTAAAGTTAATAGTTAACATCTAGCTACAAGTAGTGGCCCCACCTTTAATCCCAGCAGATAGCTCTGACTTCGAGGCTAGCCTGGTCTACAAAGTGAATTCCAGGATAGCCAAGGCTACACAGACAAGCTCTGTCTCAAAAAACAAAAACAGAAAGAGAGAAAGAGAGAGACCAGAGGAAGAGAAAACAGTTACCATCTAATCATTATCCCACAGGGGTCATGGGAAAATATCTTTCCCACCTCTTAATGTAAAAATTGTCACTGCTTAAACTGTTAAAAAGTAACAGGTAGCCCACAACAGAAGGGGTTGAGGTTCGGGGGTTACTACATTTCTTTGGAGGGGCACACTTATGTCACAGACCTGGAGGTTAGAGGACACCTTGTGGGAAGCTGGTTCCCTCCATCCTGTGGGTCCTGGGGACTAAACCCAGATTGTCATGCTACATGGCAAATGCCCAAACCACCGGAACAGTCCCCAAAAGGATTTTAAACGTCATTTAAGACTGCAAGAAAATGTATCTTTAACAGCCACTTCACCATAACGGTCATATATATTTGTGTTATAGATATATATATATATACTACACATGTATGCTATGTTATAAGCCAATATCGTTTCTTAAAACGCTTATTTCCTTTCACCATTCGAATACTCCAACAATGGGGTTAATTTCTGCAGCGATTAGTAAGAAGCAAATGGGAAGCTTACACAAGCAAGACCAAACTGCGTACGGATGGACTCTGAAGCATTTTATAACTTACTTTTTATTTAGCCACTGCAACACAGACGTTTAAAACACTTAACCACCTACAACTCCAGAGCATAAGGAAATAAAATGTCATCCTCAAAGCCTTCCTGAAGCAACACTCTCGAAAACTGGAACCGCGTTATAGTGTTTCACTGGGACCAGGAGCACAGGTCCACTCGCTTGGCTCGGATGCAGAAATGTACATGGGTAGCATGCATGCCTTTAAATGATGAATATATTCTATTCAGATAATTTTTTCAAGATCTAAGCTACCATGAGATCAGCAAGGCTAAAACTGCTTGGCATTTCACTTGCGTTGCAAAACAAAACAGCACTTCCAAACACTGTGCGACAATGACAATGTATATTTATGTAACCTCGTGATCTCATAAAGATCTACTTTCCGGCTCGTCCACTTTGTCAGTCAGATCTCCACACAGCCACAGATAACTAAAGACTCTTTAGGAAACACTGAAAACTATACCAGCCTACGTTACAGAAGCATACTGGAAAATGACATTTAAGAAAACTAACTGCCCATTTCTTACGCAGTCACTTGACTTGGCCATTAAAATAAAATTAAAAAAAAAAAAGTCAAGGCATCTGATTTTATCATTTGCTGCAGGAGGGAGAAAGAATACGGCTGAATGCTCCTGAAGGGTAGCATTTAAGACGAGGCCGCTCTAAACACTTTAAGAACATGAAGCAGTTCGAAAAGTGAAAGGCGGACACCTTAGAAACCAAACACTCGGTGCCGCGCGCACTACCTCACTTCCCTAATAGGAAAGAAACCTCCTGGTCCTGGACGCTTCCAGCTTCTGCCGGTACACCCACCTCGCACGCACGCACTTTCTTTCTCTCTTTTCTTTCTTCTTTTCTTTTTTTTTCTTTTAATTTTTTTTTTTACAGGATTTTCCGGAGGCTGCGTCGCCAATACGAACCCTGCCACCCATCCGATCTCTAAAGCCCTCTCTTCACCTCTCCGTCCCCAGCCGACTGCGCCCAGGCGGGGAGTCCTCCAGCCCCGTGCACGTCCCGCGGCGCCCTAACTCGGAGTCTCCGCCACCCTCCCTCCCTCCCTCCCTGCGGCCCGCGCCCCGGCCGCTCCCCTCCCCCGGCGGCACCCACCTCGCGGCGGCTGCGGCTGCAGCGACGCCGGCCTGGCCTCGCCGTTCTCATCCCGGGCGGCGCCGGCGCCGAGGCCGTGCCTCCGCTTCTCCCGCTCGCGCCGGTCCTTGGGTCTGCGCGGCTTGGCGGCGGCTGAGGCGGCGGAGCAGGAGGAGGAGGAGGAGGGCGGCGCGGCGGGCGGGAGCAGGACGTGCTGGGGCCGCGCGTGCAGCAGCGAGGGGGCGAGCAGCAGCGTGCGCGGCAGCGGCTGCGGCTGCGGCGGGGGAGCGGGGGCCGCGGAGGCCGGCGGGGAGAAGCAGCTCCGGGCGGCGGCCGGGGAGGACGAGGAGGAGGCGGGCGCGAAGCTCCAAGCCGCCGGGCCGCCGTAGCTCGCAGGCTGCCTCCCGCCGCTGCCGCCGCCGTCGCCGTTCACTCTCCGCGGCGCCTTCCGCTCCTCGGTCCGGACCTTCTTGGCGGACGCCGCCCCCGGAGGCTCCCGCGAGGCCGGCTGCAGCTTGCCGAACGCCTCCCTGTCCGAGAGCGCGGCCGCGGCGCCCGGAGCGGGGTTCGGCGGGGCCGCCATCTTGCGCTCCTCTTGTATTTACTCTCGTCCGCTCCCCGGCGCGGGGGCACGGGGCGGGGTCTCCAGGCCCCGGCCGAGCCGCCATTGGGCGCGCTCGACTGAGGGATCCTTGAACTGGCCAATCCAAGGCGCGGACGTGGGCCGTCGGGGCGGGATCAGCGAGCGGGCCTCCGGCGGAGGTCAGAGGGCCTCTCGGCGCGGCCGGTGGCGGAGGTCCCGGGAAGGAGGGCGCGCGCGCGCCCGGAGCCCCGGGGAAATCGGGCGTCGCGGGAAGAGCCCCGACGTCTGTCAGGACCGAGGTAGCGCTGCCGTTCACCCCGGAGACTTTGCCTTACTTACATGTACCGCTTTCTCTTTCTGCTGTGATTGGCTCGGGTCCCTCCTGCCTCTGCACGCTCTGCAAACCGGGATCCGGCGTTGTTCATCTCGGAGAAAAATCGGTCGAGAACCCGATTGACCGGAAAGGCTAAAAGAGGGCAGAGATGCCTTGTTTTAACTGATGTCGTAAGTGTTAATGCTTTAAGAGAGTTTCTTGCAGAGACAGAACGTGAATCACTTTGGAGCGGGAAGATAAAAATCACTTTAAACTGAGCTTCAGTGATAAAGGTTTTAACTTTAATTGTACCTTTAACTCACCGGGGGGAAAAAATTCTGTTAGCGATGTTTATAAATGTTGGAAAATCAAGTTAGATTTCTATATTTCAGAGATCGCTAAGCATGTGCTTTGACCTCTATCTCAAATATTCAGAATTAGGAGGTATGGGTTACAACACCTTGGAAGCCTTAGTCGGAGCGTGCCTCTTAGATCCTGAATGAGATCAGTATCTCTCCAAAGGCTGGATGAAAGATAAGAAGTGACAAATTAGCTCACCAGGGGAAAACTTGTGTGATCCCTACCAACAGTAACTGTTACTTTCTGCCGAGTTTACCTCTCAAGAATAGTATGTTGGGCCGGGCAGTGGTGGCGCACGCCTTTAATCCCAGCACTCGGGTCTGTGAGTTCGAGACCAGCCTGGTCTACAAGAGCTAGTTCCAGGACAGAGAAACCCTGTCTCGAAAAACCAAAAAAAAAAAGAAGAAGAAGAAGAATAGTATGTTGGCTTCAGGAAATTAGAATACTTTGTTATTTTGTCACCTTTCTTTTGCTCTCATCTCCACTGCCTTAGGACTTGGAATTTTTAATGTTGTTTTTAAATACATTTTTTAGTGTTTGTTTGGTTTGATTTTTTTGAGTCATAGTCTCTCTATGTAGGCTTAGCTATCCTGAAAGGTGATGTAGACTAGCCTCAAACTCACAGACACTTGCCTGCCTCTGCCATCCCCCACCCGTCCATCCCCCCCACCCCATCTTCCAGCGTCCACCACTATGTCCAGCCTCATTTTTTGGTTTCCAGAACAAGATTGTTAACAAAAAGAATATTTCCTGACGCAAGACCCAGAAAGACAAATTTCACATATTTTCTCTGATGTATGAAATCTAGATTTGAATCTACATATATACATATACACACACATTTCATGTAAAAAGTAGAAGGGGAAACGGAATTAAGGCGATGAGGGGAAGAAAGTTACCTCATGCTCTCACTTATGGGAAAGGAATGTGCATATTGTATGAAAGCAGGTACTGCTTAAAGAAAGAAGAGGGGCCATCAAGGGAGGGATAAGAGAGTTGTGGTATGGATATGAGCAAACAAGGCTATATATACATGTATGGAAGTGTCCTAAGGAAACAAATAAGACAATAAGATGAAGACTGTTCAGTGCTGCAGATTGTCTGATCTGGGCATTCCTAACAGACTCAAGTTCTATGACTAGTATCAGTTGGTGTAGTAATCTCTTTAAGGTTCACTTTTCCATTTTCTCTCTTTAGAAAGCGTCTGCTCGTGCAGTGGGGGTGATTTGCAGGAAGGAGGTGACTGTTTAATGATCTACTAAATAAACATACAACTATGTATTTATGGCATCTCAACTATTAAGTATCGAAATGCATAGTTTCTAGCAGTGAGAGCAAGCGCTGAAGCGTGCTGGCAGCGTGTGGTGAGAGAGAAGACAGGACCCGAGTCAGCTGTTCACCAGTCTCCTCGCCAGGCCACTTTGCCTGGTGAGACCTCTGTTGTCTCTGTGTTAAGTGAGCAGATTTGACTACATGGTTACTATTAGCCTATATTGGTCTTCTTCAAGATTTCAAAATCACACTGAAACCATTACAATTAAAATAATTTCTCATCAGACATGGTGATACAGCTCTGTGATCCTAGCATCTGAGAGGTAGAAGCAGGAAGACCAAAAGTTCAACTAAGCACATAGGGAGTTCAAGGCCAACTTTGACCTCATGAATATCTGGCTAAAAAACTAAAGTAAAATAAATTTTTAAATATCTTCTCTATTTTTATTGTGTGTGTGCCAGTATTTGTCTGCAGGTTTGTGTGTGACCACATACATGCCTGGTTCCCATGAAAGCCACAACAGAACATGGGATTCCCTGGAATTTTGTTAAGATTGATGATTTATTATCTATTATGTATATTTATTATGTATATATGTATTCTGCTTGCATACCAGAACACCAGACCTCATTCAGATGGTTGTGAGCCATCATGTGGCTGATGGGAATTGAACTCAGGACCCCTGGAAGAGCAGCCACTGCTCTTATCCGCTGAACCATCTCTCCAGCCCCAAGGATTCCCTGGAATGTGAGCCTTACTAGGAAACAAATCCATGGTCTCTGCAAGGGCAATAAGTGCTCTTACCTATTGACCATGTCTGCAACCCCTAAAATAACTTTTGTAGCTTCTAACCCTAAAAAAAGTGCCTTTTGATCAGTTGTGTCACGCCAGGAAATTTGCACCACTCACCTCACATTTTAATTCGGGAGAATCTGACCTTAGGGCTACAATGCACTGTGTGGAGTTATTATTTCTTGCCCCATAATATACTATTAGTGGATATATTCCTAAACTTGATGAATCTGAGCAAAAGTATGGTTGTGGATGCTCATGGACCCTTATAAATCAAAATAACAAACTCGTGTAAAATACTGTGGTCGTTTGAATGAGAATGGTCCCCATAGGCTTGTTGGAGTACTTGGTCCCAGTTAGAGGGACTGTTTGGGAAGGATTAGGAAGTGTGGCTAAGGATTGGGTGTGGCCTTGTTAGGATACTTGTTTGAAACCTTTTGAGGTTTCAAAAGGACATTCCAGGCTCTGTCTCTCTCTGCCTGTGGGGTCAGGATGTGAAGCTCTCAACCTCTGCTCCAGAACCCTGTTTGTTCACTTCCTGTCCTGGTGAGAGTGGACCAGTGCCCTGAAGTTGTAAGCAAGCCCCCTGTTAAATGCTTTCCTTTAAAACCTCTTCATGAAAACCCATAGAACGATAGAACGTGACTGAAACAAATCTGTCCTGCTGCTTTGAACAAAGCGACGTCCACGATGATCTGGAAAGCCAAATTTAAAAGTTTCAGAGCCCCCGATTGATTCCATTCTTCTGCCCCAACTATCCACCTGCTATACAAAAAACATACATATTCATGATGTGTTTAAAATAAGTTCAAACATTGTTTTCCTAAAAACGATATGATCAGCAGCTAAGAGTGCCCTAGGATCTGAGCAGTGTGGAAGGTCTGCAGGTTCCCAGCAGGTCTCCTGACCTCATGGTCTCCCTACCCTTTGCAATAGGAAAAGAGCTGAGTGGGCAGGGACATTGGACCTAAAGACAGTGCTGTAAAACATGCTTAATTATAACCAAGTCCAAGGATGCTAGCTAGTAAAAGTCCGTCTCTATAAACAGCCACTACCTGTCAACTGTATCATACCTAATAATGCTTAACTGGGGAAGAAGCTTTACCACTGCCGTCAGCTCCTGGTCTACATGTATCTACATGTGTGTCTACATGTGTACAATACACAGCCAGGGAGCAGCCTCGGGTGCTGGTCCTTGCCTGCCATCCGTCTTTTCCTTTCTTTTTTCTTTTTAGACACAATCTCCCACTGGCCTAGAACTTACCAAGCAGACTTTTTTAAAAAGCAAACCAGGGCCCCACCTGCAAGTGCTTTTACCCCCTGAACCGCATCACCAGGCCTGTGAGTTTTGTTTTTAAAGGGTTTTATTTGTTTCCTTCTGTGTACGTACTTACGGGTGCCCATGGTATTTGCCTGTATGTGTGTCTGTGTGAGAGTGTTGGATCCTGGTTTTACAGACAATTGTGAGCTGCCATGTGGGTGCTAGGAATCGAACCCAGGTCCTCTGGAAGAGTAGCCGTGTTCTTAACCACTGAGACGTCCCTCCAGCCCCCATAGCCAGCTTCTTAACCACAGTCTTCCTTCCAGTTTGAGTATGTACTTAAGCTTGGGAGGGAGAAAACAGGAAGGCAAAAGAGAGAACTGTAGGCGAAGGCTCGGCCACTCTATAAAAGCTTCCTTGGTGAGGCAGTAGCAACCACAAAGCAGGAAGCAGAGGGTGCAAGGTGGAGTCAGAAGAGCCACGCGGAGTAAGTAGGAGCCGTTCTTAAATGTCTCTTTGAGAAATTATTTTGCGCCCAGGGTTTTTATATGAAGGGGCGTCATATCATTTTGGTGCCCATTTTGAGGAAGGGAAAAAGGAAAAGAAAGCCTGTTCTCCAGTCAGTCCTGGCGGAAGAGGGCTCACTTGGCAAAGACGGTGAGCGCAGCACAATGTATCGTGACCTCAGACCTTCACGTGACAAACTGTAATGGAAACTTCTTACTCACGGAGCGTCTGGATTTAAGACCCAGCCCTTGCCCAGTTTGTGAACTTGCATCCCCACATCTCCTTCGCTTTGATTGTGAGCAGGGAAACCCTACCCCCAGCATCATCACGATCAGTTTTGTAGAGTCAGTCACACTGCCAGAATCTCACCGCCCTTAGGACGCTGCTTACTGGGCACCTCACCTGTGCCAGGTGGGGTTTCCTCCTCGGCTTAGCTTTAGAATGTTTTCTGTTTTCCAAGACCTTTTTTTTAAAAAAAAAAAAAAAATATGGTCTCACTAGTAGACCAAGTGAACCTCAGATTCACAGAGACCCTCCTGCCTCTATCTCCCAGGTGCTGGGTTTACAGGTATAAACCACCACACCTGACTG